TAAATAAGGCACCATAAGTCTAGGTTAGAATATGGCTGCCAATAATATTAATAACGCCAATAAATGCTACGGAAGTGAGAACGGGAGTCATATCTCTAGCATACCCTAGAGACCAAAACGCAAATTGCCCGAAAACAACAAAGACGACGAAGAAGAAGATTTTGAAACGTCATTTCCTGTCTTGCGCAAACCAGAGGAACGAAAGTAAACATGGCGGCGGCGGAGAAATCGACGAAGGAGAGACTACTGTCTGTGCTGGATGATTTGGAGGTTTTATCCAGGTAAAATTAAACTTCGTGCGAGCGTTTTCTCGTGTCTCGTGTAAACTGTTTGGTAAGCTATCAGTATTTTATCTGTGAAGAGATAAAATACTCGGAGCCGTGAACTAGCACCCCCAGTTTGTGCTGATTACTAGCAGACATGCCGCTCATTGGCCGAGCCTACGGCTTTTCTGAAAGAAAGATAACGAGCTCTGGGATTTGAAACAACCTGAAACACTGTTCAAATTTTTCTGTTGGAAACTGTTAGCAGTTAGAAGACTCCATTTTATAAAACAAGGTTGTTGAAGAGTTTGTAGGTACTACACTCTACGGCTAATAGTCATTTTCAAAAGGAAATATGTCTGTGAAGGTTCTCATTCATCCAGGTCATCGTAGTCTAAGGAGCTTGGAAAGAAAAGGGTCTGGACTTCTTTGAGACTGGGACTCTCCACCATTTGACCCTTAGAACTGAAGAAGCTTCTCGGATGAGAGGTGAAACGTCTTCAAGCAACTCAAAGAAGTCCAGACACTTTTCTTTCCAAGCTCCTTAGACTTTCAAAAGGAAACTACCACAAAAATGGCCAAAATGACTAATCAGAGAAACAAAGCGAACATAGGCGTACAGAAAACGATCATCAGTATGAGCTTTAAAAAGTAAATAAATATATAAACATAGAAATTTGATTTGTTGGATTGAAATGTGGTTTTTGACCATTTTTAATTGTGTGTGTGTTCATTTCAGGGAGCTGATAGAGATGCTGGCATTGTCCAGGAGTCAGAAAATGCCTCAACCTGGAGAGGACACGCAGGTAACACCCCACTCAGCCTTTAGTCGACACACGGAGATTTAAACAAACTAATGACCATCACAGTGGCTGTCAGACCATGCGTAGTCCTAGGGTTAGTGGTGATCAAAGGCCTTCTAGAAGCAAGTCTCACTATGTGGCAGCTATTCTAAAATGTCTCCAGCTATATATTTGGTCAGTGTTGTGAAACACTGTCCAGTTTGATACTTGTCTGCCACTCGGTTTCTGTATTTTTCCAGTCTCTGGTACTTGATCTTCAAGTTCTTTGTGGATTTGCACAGTCTTTTGTTTTTTGCTGTTTTAAAGTTTTGGTGAGACATGATCACTGATACAGGATCACTGTTTCTTTAAGGACAAAGCTGTGCTTAATTGCTAAGCATAATTTTTTTTTAATTTAAGCATTTAATTTTAATGCTGTCACATTTGAAGATATCTAGTTCCTTCCAACTGATTTTCTGTCATCCATAAATCTTTCATAGCTTTTGAACCTTTTATTGTGTTAGACATGAGTGATTTTAGTTAGTTACACTAACCTGTATGAAGCCTATGAAATAGGAAATCTTTGATAACAGAATGTGTTGATGCTTTATCCATAAGATCCTGGAGCTGTTGGTGCAGAGGGACAAGGAGTTTCAGGAGCTGATGGAGGTGGCCCAGCAGCAGGGGAAGGTTCACCAGGAAATGCAACTGCTGGAGAAGGAGGTGGAGAAGAGAGATAGTGACATCCAGCAGCTCCAGAAACAACTGAAGGAAGCAGAACACATCCTGGTGGGTTTGGCTTGTCTCTTGTTGTATTTTTTTTTTTATCCAGAGCAGGGCAGCGCTGACAGATTGAAATAAACGCTCAAATGTTTTAAGTGTGCTGGTGTAGCTGATACTGTGCTCTTACAGCAGAGGTATTCAGGGTTATAGTGTTGCTATTGTAATGTAAAGGGGCCTATGATTCTCTTCTTTTTCTGATATACCGTGTTACAGATGTTCATATTAAACATGGCCAAGGTTTAAAATAATGAGGCCAGCATACGAATAGTCATAATAAACAGAAACTACATCTTCTTTAAATTCTAATATCATGTGAGAAGTGATAAAGAGGATTGATATATTTCTGTGTATCTGTTTCAGGCCACTGCTGTTTACCAGGCAAAAGAGAAACTGAAATCCATCGAAAGAGCCAGGAAAGGTGAGGGAACACTCCCGACACGTTCTGGTGAAAGCTATGTTTGATGGCTGGTTTTCTCTTTGATGGCTTGCCCATAAATTGACACTGTTTACATGTTTTCTGCAGGAAGCATCTCATCAGAAGAAATCATCAAGTATGCTCACAGAATCAGTGCCAGTAACGCTGTGTGTGCTCCTCTCAACTGGGTGCCAGGTATGTGCCAGGCTTTCTGTATCTCACACTGGGTGTTGGTAAAAGTTCATGTTCAGCTTCATTCACTGTTGTCATACTTGACAGGTGATCCACGCAGACCGTACCCTACCGACCTGGAAATGCGTAGCGGGATGCTTGGTCACATGGCCAACCTGTCCACCAATGGTGTGAACGGTCATCTGCCAGGAGACGCGTTAGCTGCTGGGAGGTTACCAGGTAAGTTCAGCTGAGCACTTAAAGGAAGGAGTACCCATGCCTCCTGGCAAAGAGATTTTAGATGAGGTCAGAGGTTTGTTACGGTGATTTCAAAATGTATCATTTATCAATTTATCATTATCCATCCTTATCCATCCTTTAAAAAGTTAAAGGACATTCAGACTGCATCTACATCAAGCTCTGTAACATAAGAAACTTGGCAAAAAGTACCAGCTTTCAGATACTATATAAGGGAGCTGAGAGAGAGGCTGAGATAAGTAGTGTCAGTCAGTGTTTGGCATTTCACAGAATAACCATTTTTCTCTCGTGTCACCTCAGACGTCCTGACGCCTCATTACCCGTGGCAGTCGTCTGATGTCTCAGTGGGGATGCTGCCCCCTCACCACGGCAATGACTTTGGCCTGGAGCCTCCGGGTCACAACAAGGAGAATGAAGATGATGTAGAGGCCATGTCCACAGATTCCTCCAGCAGCAGTAGTGACTCCGACTAAAAGTGTGTCTCAGAGTCAAGAAATGCTGAGACCTGTGTGTGTGCGTGCGCGCGTGTCTGTTTGTTCGACTTAAAGCTCACCAGCGAGCAACATCTGAGCAGGCATCTTCAGCTTCAGTCATTTATTGTGCCTTTGAGAAATTGATTTTTTAAATGTACCCTTTTTGAATATTAGTGAGTTTATGGTGTTAGTAGGTGGATTATCTTCCCTTTGGACAGAACCAGGCTAACTGGCGTTATTATACAGTTCAGTGAAACTACTGTATAAACTAGAACTAGCAAAAATGAAGAACGTGTCATTCTGGACTCCTACATGAAAGAAGACAGACCAAAGAATATCCTTCAGAAAACAAAGACAATAATTTGCCTTCTTTTGCTCTTTGGTGACACCGTGTGTGTGAGAGACTTGATGTCTAATTTTAGTTGGTCACGGTCAGAATGTTTGCAGTGTAGTATAAGTTGTGTAAATATGCCTGTAAATACTCAGTCTTGTAAATAAATACTTTTTGAATACAATTTTTTTTCTACTCTTTTTGTGTCTGGATTTGTTGTTTTATTATTCATGTTTAGGAACATGAATAACAAAACAACTGTTCCTGAACAGCATTAGATGGAAGTAGATACAGTCAGAGGTCATCTCATCCATTACGATTCAGTACATTTCATGGTGCAAGGTGTTGGCTGTATGTTTTTATTTATCAAATCTTTGAACATCTGAACTGACACGTGCTGGAACACTATTTCTCACTGGAAGTGGAAGTAGAACATAATGCAAAAGAGCAATAAGTACATCAGGGCCATATTGCATTTGACATCACTTTTTTGAGTGGAAAGATAAAGAGATAATAGAGACACAAGCCAGAAATTAGCACTGGGTAGAAAAGGTTTAATTTCTTGTTACATACAAGTGGAACTAATGTCAGAGTGCAACACGGTGCCTACATGTTGTTGTTGTTGTTTTTTTTAAAATGAGCCATGAGATATGACTTTATTTATTCATTTACAAGTTTATACTTGACACTAAGAATTGTATTTATTTAGGTTAAAGGGCGGAAGGAGTCTTTATTTACAGTATGTTGAGGCAATGATAGTGCTGCCTTCAGGAGCTCACTGTAAAACACTATGTTATTGTATACTATGGTTAAAGATTGAAATAAAGATTTGTTTTTGCAGTATGCTATTAAAATTATGTGATGTAGCCTATTTGAGTTTTTGCAGTGTTATGAAAAGGGGAAATAGGCACGAAGTGGATATTTAAAACAAACATTTAGCTACTTTTTAAATGCTCATTTTTATTCTTTAAAGTAAGTACGCATATTTTCAGATATTTGAACACACACCAGCAGTATACTACCCTAACCCTGAGTCCTTCATCCTAAGCATTGTACAATGGTAGTAATAGGGCCAGATTAATAAAAAAAAAAACAATAACAAATTGTGTTCATTTTCAGATTTTGGTGGAAAATTTGACTTTACACTTGAAAAACTATTTTGAGGGGGAAAAGGTGAAATGTGGAGATTGCACATTGTGTTTATGGTTAAAAATAAACAGTTTACTTGTAACATAAATCAATTCTGAAGTACGATTTTACTAGTTCATCTACGCAAGGCACTTTGTAGAGGGCTTTAATCTCTACATTTCGACTTTATTCTCAAAATACTAATTCCTAGTTTTTACAAAAATAGTGTATATATATATATATGTGTGTGTGTGTGTGTGTGTGTGTGTATGTATGTATGTATGTATGTATGTTTATACGTATGTATTTTCTTTTTTTATTTGGCCACAACATTCCTTTCATGGGACTGAACGTTCCGACAGCATTTGAAATTACCAGAGGGGAGGGCGTCTTTGGAATCGCACTACGCGTGCGCGTTCAATCCACTTTGCTGTAGAGGGAGACATGGCGACGTCCCTGATTTGCGGCCGTTTGACGGCTAGCCTGAGAACTTCAGGGGCTAGAAACACTATTAGCTCCGCTTGTAAGGTAAGTGTGTATCCACAACGGAAGACAACGTTTGGGCTTTCATGGAATGTGTCTGTTATGGCACCACACCTTCCCCGAGGGTTAAAAGTTCTACGAATCTGACAGGGTCAAATTTGACATTAGCACAACTCGATTGAGTTTCCGTTATTTTGGCTAACACGCTAACTAGCACATAGTTAGCACGGCCGGCTGTCAAATCTGCAGATTAAGCAGTAAACGGCCAAAGAATCACTGTGCTCTTAGTCTTTTCTGTAGCCGTACACTTCGTGTGGCTGTGAACGGCATTCTTGGTGGAGGATATGCTCAGTGAAGCTCAGTGACCTCCACCGGCAGCTGCTACAGCTTCCATCCCAGCGATTCCTCCCCCATGACATCTGTCCCGCTGGGTCTTCTTGGGAAGTTATCTGGCCAAATCCGCTCAGGCTCGGAAGCATAAACAGCTTTCACTGCAGAGATACGCTGCAAATATACAACGGGTGGAACAGCAAGATAAAATGACGGAAGAGATCTAACCGGGAAGAGCGCGCAATTCAACCGGGAGTCCATTACACCAGGGCCCCCATAAGATAGAGCCTGACCAGCAAAACTCTGAATACTCTACACTGAGCAGAATTACGTTATTTATGTCGTATTGGTGGGAGGCTTTGGGTCTCGACATTCCAGCCTAAACATTGCTGCAGACACCTGACACCACAGGACAAACTCAGTGGTCTCATGGCTGCGCTCTGGCAGTCCGGAGCTGTTTTGGAAGCATGAAGAGGACCTACACAATACAAAACAGCTGGTTTTAGTGTTTTGTCTTATCGGTGGTAAACGTATCAGCATTCTTAACAGAAGTCTTTGTGTCATCTTAGGTGAAAGTTTGAAATGCTTGTAAAACTTACTTTGACACATTCTGTTCAGATAACATCAGCAAAGCTTTACATTTGTTTTACTAAAAAGGTATCTGCAGGTTGTTGAAGCTCTCTAAAAGCACTGCATTCAGTTCTTTTGTCCAAAACTCGGAATGCGCTATTTAGTGACACAATATTAGTATTTTTTCAGCTAAAAAAATTTATAGGATACTGGTTTGAAAGATGGTTGAAAGGTGTAATATAGATCAACGAAAAAGAACGGTGATCTTTAAATTGTTTTATTCTTTTTAGGCTACCTGTCAGGACTCCGTTTGCCTACATTTGTATTCATCAATAGGAATTCTTGAGTTATCCATCTGGAAATGTGATATAATGTATATTTTAATTGCAGTATTGTTCTGGGTTTTCATTTTGGATGGTGTAACAGTGAAATAATACATGTGTTACACATTATGTGGTTGAAAGCGGGACTTTAAAAGTCTTACTTGAGTAGCCAACAAAAAGTCTTCAGTTGCTCCCTTTTTTTTCTGTTCATTATAATCTTGATAGTGTGTGCACACCTATTAGAGTTAATAATGTCTGTTTACACACACTTTTGCTTGTGATATAATTTTATATAGTGTGTAAAGGTAACAGAACAAAGTAATGTTAGTTTGACTAATTGTCTGGTATCTGAAACCTCAAAAACCGCGACAGGTTTAGTTCTTCTTGTTGTGTTTTAGCTAAACACTTACTTCAGTCACAGGTACGCCATACTGGTACCAGGGGGGATGCCTTTTGGCCTTCACAACTGCTTTAATTGTCTGTGGCACAGATTTAACAAGTGGCTGGAAACATTCCTTAGAGATTTTAGTCCATATTGACATGGAGCATCACACAGATGCAGATTTGTCAGCCGCACATTCATGGTGTGAGTCTCTTGTTCCATCACATCCTAACGGTACTCTGTTGGAATGAGATCTGGTGACCGTGGAGGCCATTTGAGTACAGTGAGAGCTATTAAATGATGATCAGTTTGTACTTAAGGCCCCAGAATGTTCCAAGAAAATATTCCCAACACTATTATACCACCTCATTAGCCTCACCTATTGAAACAAGGCAGGATGGAGCCTGTTACGGTCAGCTTTGATGCTATCATCTGAATATCACAGCAAAAATCCAGAATCATCATTCTGTTGACTGCTTTCGGTGAGCTTCACTTCCTGTTCTTATCTGACAGGAGTGGCACCTGGTGTGAGTTTCTGCTGCTTTAGTCTGAGTGGTTATTGGAGCTACTGTTGCCTTCTTGTTAGCTCAAAGCAGCTGACCATTCTCCTATCACCTCTGACATCAACAAGGCACTTTTACCCAGAGAACCGCCACTCACTGGATGTTTTCTTTTTTCAGTAAACCCTAGAGGTGCAGATCAGCAGTTTCTGGTACTCAGACAAAGCCTGTCTGGCAGCAGCAACCACTCCACCGTCACAGTTACTTAAATCGCTTTGTGTCTCTGGTGTGATACTGAGTTTGAACTTTAACAGGTTGTCTTGACCATGCCTATTTGCCTAAATGCTGATTAGATATTTGTGTTAATAAGTAAATATGTGAAGCAGGTGTGCCTAATAAAGCAGCCAGTTGTCTTCTTTTTTTTTTTTTTTTTTTCTTGACCAAAAATAAAAGGTTGGATTTTTCTTTTGGTCCACTGATTTAGTTGAGGAAATAAACGTGATTGTCTAATGCCCAGCTGATATGCTTTGAGTAACACGTTGTTTCACATCCTTGCTGAAGTTTCCAGTGTTGCTTTTGTGGTCCTACGGACTGTGAACGATTCTCTCTTCCTCCAAGGATGGTTATGTTTTGTGTTGTAGGAATTTTATCTCGTGGGTTTAGTGTCTGCGATTTTCACATGTTGCTCTAGCAATATTGAGCAAAAGACAACACAATGATGTGTCTGCTTGTTTTGAGTTAAAAGAGATTGTTTATTTGTAGGTTAGATTGACATTTGAAGATGGTAGATGTACTGGTTTTAAGTTCATTGCTTCCTGTGCTTGTTCTTTCTGTCCCTTCAGGTTCTTGGTGGTTCTTCAGGTCTGTTTGGCGGCCATGTGTCCCAGCCCCAGCCCCCTCACCTGCAGCAGCAGCAGAGGAACCTCTCGCTACATGAGTACATGAGCATCGGCCTGCTGAAAGAGGCCGGCATCTCTGTGCCGGCCGGCATGGTGGCTAACTCCTCAGAGGAGGCGTACGCTGTGGCCAAGCAGATTGGTAAGGCTGAACAAGTCGTTAAAAAACAAATACACTTTCACTGTCCTTTACTCAAGGACAAAAAAACAAAAACTGTAGTTCTGTTATTTAGAACAGTTTAAGTGATTTTTAAAGACAATCTCCAACCTCAGTCAAGATGCACAGCTTCACACTTTAATGGATAAAGAGGCACTGACATTTGAAGATGTTGTATATGCATTTAATTACAGAAGCCTTGAGAAATCCAGCAGGCTAAACTTCAAATGCTTTGATTGTGAACTGACTGTGGCAATATTAACGTTTTAAATAAATCATAATACAACCTTGTCTGTAAGAAGCCAAATTACATTAGTACTGTTTCTATTCCAAACAATCTCATATTGTATAAGCCATCACTTTCACAAACTTGACTTAAGTACAGAAGTCTTACATTTAGAGTCGCTGTAGTTAAACTCTGTTCTGTCAAACTTCAGTCTGGAGACCTTTGAATTTAGCTACCATGTTAAATGCAGTGGGCTTTAGTAGTGTTATGAATGTATTATGAATGTTTTATCTGTTAATGGTCCACCACCAAGCCACTGTTGTGGATTTACTAGTGTTGATTTTCTTTGGTTGGTCTTATATGAGCAAGAAGAGCACTTTAGAGCCAGAGATGGGCAGTAACGCGTTACTTGTAACGCATTACTGTAATCTGATTAATTTTTTCAAGTAACGAGTAAAGTAAGGGATTACTATTGCAAAAAACGGTAATTAGATTACCGTTACTTTCCCGTAGGAACGCTGCGTTACTGCGTTACTAAAACCGTGATTTTTTTGCGAGAATGTCTCACGACAGTGACGTAAGCGAGTGCGCCGTTAGTGACAACAGCTGTGTGCAGATCAACAATGGATCACATATCGATTGTGGGAGAGAGTATGAGCGTGCAGCGTTTAAAGCGTGGAAGTACTGACCTTACTTTGAGTTTGATTCCATAAAAAGTGACAAAAACATTAGCGTCCGTTGTGCGTGGGAAGAAAACTTCTTTTTACAGCGAAAAAAACCCCTAAACAAGCACCGAGTGCGCAACGACGTAATGGGAAATTCACAGAGAAACTCGCGGATTCTTCCACTGACCGCGGCACACCTGCACCAGGGTAAACCTCCGCCTACCCACTCCTGCTTTACAGGTGAAAATAGAGCAACAGGACCGCTGAGTCTTTGACTTTATTTATTTTCTGCTGTGTTTTACTTGCATCTATTTGAAAGAGTGAGTGTAAACACAAAAAATATTTTATTTTATGTGCTGGAATGTGCAGAAAATAGGTTTAAATGTTAAACTAATTTATTCAAGTCAGAGAATGTTGCATATAATTAAATTTTTGCTTGATGCATAAAGTTAAAAGATTAAAACTAATAAAACAAGTTAAAAAAAGAGACTTTTCCATTTGATTACATTTTGTATGATGGATTATGAGAAAAAGTAGAATTGGGCTGAAAGATCTATCGCTTTATCACCTCTTCAGGTTGTAAATCGTGTTTTTAAAAAGTAACTAAGTAACTAAGTAATTAATTACTTTTGAAAATAAGTAATCAGTAAAGTAATGGGATTACTTTTTTGGGGAAGTAATCAGTAATTAGTTACTGATTATTTTTTCAAGTAACTTGACCAACACTGTTTAGAGCTATGTTTGAAATGAAAAACTTTAAAGATGTAAGTGTTAAACATTTTGACCCCATTGCTCTGCATTAGACTTGAAAGCATTTAAAGAGATGGAATGAAAGTTTTGACTTTAACCACGCTATTACTCTCTGACAAACCCAGTGGCGTGACTATCCATTTATGCTGCTAACTCTTTCATCACCCCTCTGGACCTGAATGCCACTTGGAGGCTTTTCTAACATTGTGTGTGTGTGTGTGTGTGTGTGTGTGTGCGTGTGTGTGCGCGTGCGTAAGTGAGTGTAAGAGTGAGACAGACAGAGAAAGACTCTCGCACACCCAGTCTATACATAGCCATCTTCTGCTTCAGTGGTATCAGTTGACACTCAGCGTGCACAATTCTTGGATAGAAAGAAGATGCACCTGTTGGAATCAATACACACCCTGTTTCTTGTTCATTGTAAATAACATGAAAGGAGCTGCATGCCATGTTTTTTTTTCTCCTCATATGTTACTCCTACTTTGCCTGTGTGTGAAGTTATATTCCTCTATCAGTAAGGAGACATGTGATATGATAAGACTTGTTTAGCTAAGCTGGTCCTCTACTGCTTTTTTTTTGGGGGGGGCATATACAGTATGTTGCAAAAGTTTTTATTGACACATGTTCAATCATACATGGAAATACAGTATATAAGCCAAAAAGAAGAAGCTTGAAAGTCAAAATTTGGTATAAAGACCTTTATTCTTCAGCACAGCTTGAACTCTCTTAGGAAGATTGCTTGTCATGTGTTTCAGTAGTCTTCAGGAATTGTTCTCCAGGTTTGTCGAAGGACATTTAAAACTCTTCTTTGCATGTTTTCTGACAAGATGATCCCACACTGATTCAGTAATTTTAAGGTCTGTGCTCTTGGGAGGCCACTGTCTGTTTGTCCATACAGGCATGCTTTCACTGCATTGGCAGTGTGTTTGTGGTCATTGTCATGCTGATAATGAAGCTATTGATAGTCAGATGTTTTTCAGATGTTAATTTGCAGTGGATCAAAATCTGATGGTACTTTTTCATGATTCCACCAATTTGACAAGATCTCCTGCGTCCCTGGATGAAATTCAGCTCCAAAACATGACGAAGCCTCCACTATGTTCTATAGATGGCTGTAGACATTCACTGTTGTATTTTTCCCCTGTATATATTAATGATGATTTCAACCAAATATGTAAAATCTGGACTGATCTCTCCATAAGACCTGCTGCCGCTGATTTTCAGTACAGCTTTTGTCTGATTTTGCTGTATATGTTCTTTAAGAATGACTCCTTGACAGCTACCCCTTTGACTGAGACCATTTCTGAGGAGGCTTGCACGCCCACATTTGTGAATGTACTAACTCAAGAATAAGATGATGTAAAATTTTTAATACGTTAGGTGTATCTGCTAGGAGGCTGCGTGGTTCCACTGGCTCCTGCCATGTCTTCTTTTATCCTCCACTTTTCTAATTTCATCAAAATCTTTAAGAAATTTTACAGACTGCTCTAAAGAGCTTGTTTGGGACAGAGGATGAACTGTGATAGGGTGACTTGGGGGATGGCGGGGTAGGGGTGGGGGGGCGTAGCTCAGTTTAATCAATTTCCTTTTATCTTATACTCGGCCTTGGCCACACCCTATCACAGTTCATCCTCTGTCCCAAACAAGCTCTTTAGAGCAGTCTGTAAAATTTCTTAAAGATTTTGATGAAATTAGAAAAGTGGAGGATAAAAGAAGACGTGGCAGGAGCCAGTGGAACCACGCAGCCTCCTAGCAGATACACCTAACGTATTAAAAATTTTACATCATCTTATTCTTGAGTTAGTACATTCACAAATGTGGGCGTGCAAGCCTCCTCAGAAATGGTCTCAGTCAAAGGGGTAGCTGTCAAGGAGTCATTCTTAAAGAACATATACAGCAAAATCAGACAAAAGCTGTACTGAAAATCAGCGGCAGCAGGTCTTATGGAGAGATCAGTCCAGATTTTACATATTTGGTTGAAATCATCATTAATATATACAGGGGAAAAATACAACAGTGAATGTCTACAGCCATCTATAGAACATAGTGGAGGCTTCGTCATGTTTTGGAGCTGAATTTCATCCAGGGACGCAGGAGATCTTGTCAAATTGGTGGAATCATGAAAAAGTACCATCAGATTTTGATCCACTGCAAATTAACATCTGAAAAACATCTGACTATCAATAGCTTCATTATCAGCATGACAATGACCACAAACACACTGCCAATGCAGTGAAAGCATGCCTGTATGGACAAACAGACAGTGGCCTCCCAAGAGCACAGACCTTAAAATTACTGAATCAGTGTGGGATCATCTTGTCAGAAAACATGCAAAGAAGAGTTTTAAATGTCCTTCGACAAACCTGGAGAACAATTCCTGAAGACTACTGAAACACATGACAAGCAATCTTCCTAAGAGAGTTCAAGCTGTGCTGAAGAATAAAGGTCTTTATACCAAATTTTGACTTTCAAGCTTCTTCTTTTTGGCTTATATACTGTATTTCCATGTATGATTGAACATGTGTCAATAAAAACTTTTGCAACATACTGTATATGCTCCCCCCCAAAAAAAAGCAGTAGAGGACCAGCTTAGCTAAACAAGTCTTATCATATCACATGTCTCCTTACTGATAGAGGAATATAACTTCACACACAGGCAAAGTAGGAGTAACATATGAGGAGAAAAAAAAACATGGCATGCAGCTCCTTTCATGTTATTTACAATGAACAAGAAACAGGGTGTGTATTGATTCCAACAGGTGCATCTTCTTTCTATCCAAGAATTGTGCACGCTGAGTGTCAACTGATACCACTGAAGCAGAAGATGGCTATGTATAGACTGGGTGTGCGAGAGTCTTTCTCTGTCTGTCTCACTCTTACACTCACTTACGCACGCGCACGCGCACACACGCACACACACACACACACACACACACACACAATGTTAGAAAAGCCTCCAAGTGGCATTCAGGTCCAGAGGGGTGATGAAAGAGTTAGCAGCATAAATGGATAGTCACGCCACTGGGTTTGTCAGAGAGTAATAGCGTGGTTAAAGTCAAAACTTTCATTCCATCTCTTTAAATGCTTTCAAGTCTAATGCAGAGCAATGGGGTCAAAATGTTTAACACTTACATCTTTAAAGTTTTTCATTTCAAACATAGCTCTAAACAGTGTTGGTCAAGTTACTTGAAAAAATTAATCAGTAACTAATTACTGATTACTTCCCCAAAAAAGTAATCCCATTACTTTACTGATTACTTATTTTCAAAAGTAATTAATTACTTAGTTACTTAGTTACTTTTTTAAAAACACGATTTACAACCTGAAGAGGTGATAAAGCGATAGATCTTTCAGCCCAATTCTACTTTTTCTGCATAATCCATCATACAAAATGTAATCAAATGGAAAAGTCTCTTTTTTTAACTTGTTTTATTCAGTTTTAATCTTTTAACTTTATGCATCAAGCAAAAATTTAATTATATGCAACATTCTCTGACTTGAATAAATTAGTTTAACATTTAAACCTATTTTCTGCACATTCCAGCACATAAAATAAAATATTTTTGTGTGTTTACACTCACTCTTTCAAATAGATGCAAGTAAAACACAGCAGAAAATAAATAAAGTCAAAGACTCAGCGGTCCTGTTGCTCTATTTTCACCTGTAAAGCAGGAGTGGTAGGCGGAGGTTTACCCTGGTGCAGGTGTGCCGCGGTCAGTGAAGAATCCGCGAGTTTCTCTGTGAATTTCCCATTACGTCGTTGCGCACTCGGTGCTTGCTTTAGGGTTTTTTCGCTGTAAAAAGAAGTTTTCTTCCCACGCACAAGGACGCTAATGTTTTTGTCACTTTTTATGGAATCAAACTCAAAGTAAGGTCAGTACTTCCACGCTTTAAACGCTGCACGCTCATACTCTCTCCCACAATCGATATGTGATCCATTGTTGATCTGCACACAGCTGTTGTCACTAACGGCGCACTCGCTTACGTCACTGTCGTGAGACATTCTCGCAAAAAATCACGGTTTTAGTAACGCAGTAACGCAGCGTTCCTACGGGAAAGTAACGGTAATCTAATTACCGTTTTTGCAATAGTAATCCCTTACTTTACTCGTTACTTGAAAAAAGTAATCAGATTACAGTAATGCGTTACAAGTAACGCGTTACTGCCCATCTCTGGCTCTAAAGTGCTCTTCTTGCTCATATAAGACCAACCAAAGAAAATCAACACTAGTAAATCCACAACAGTGGCTTGGTGGTGGACCATTAACAGATAAAACATTCATAATACATTCATAACACTACTAAAGCCCACTGCATTTAACATGGTAGCTAAATTCAAAGGTCTCCAGACTGAAGTTTGACAGAACAGAGTTTAACTACAGCGACTCTAAATGTAAGACTTCTGTACTTAAGTCAAGTTTGTGAAAGTGATGGCTTATACAATATGAGATTGTTTGGAATAGAAACAGTACTAATGTAATTTGGCTTCTTACAGACAAGGTTGTATTATGATTTATTTAAAACGTTAATATTGCCACAGTCAGTTCACAATCAAAGCATTTGAAGTTTAGCCTGCTGGATTTCTCAAGGCTTCTGTAATTAAATGCATATACAACATCTTCAAATGTCAGTGCCTCTTTATCCATTAAAGTGTGAAGCTGTGCATCTTGACTGAGGTTGGAGATTGTCTTTAAAAATCACTTAAACTGTTCTAAATAACAGAACTACAGTTTTTGTTTTTTTGTCCTTGAGTAAAGGACAGTGAAAGTGTATTTGTTTTTTAACGACTTGTTCAGCCTTACCAATCTGCTTGGCCACAGCGTACGCCTCCTCTGAGGAGTTAGCCACCATGCCGGCCGGCACAGAGATGCCGGCCTCTTTCAGCAGGCCGATGCTCATGTACTCATGTAGCGAGAGGTTCCTCTGCTGCTGCTGCAGGTGAGGGGGCTGGGGCTGGGACACATGGCCGCCAAACAGACCTGAAGAACCACCAAGAACCTGAAGGGACAGAAAGAACAAGCACAGGAAGCAATGAACTTAAAACCAGTACATCTACCATCTTCAAATGTCAATCTAACCTACAAATAAACAATCTCTTTTAACTCAAAACAAGCAGACACATCATTGTGTTGTCTTTTGCTCAATATTGCTAGAGCAACATGTGAAAATCGCAGACACTAAACCCACGAGATAAAATTCCTACAACACAAAACATAACCATCCTTGGAGGAAGAGAGAATCGTTCACAGTCCGTAGGACCACAAAAGCAACACTGGAAACTTCAGCAAGGATGTGAAACAACGTGTTACTCAAAGCATATCAGCTGGGCATTAGACAATCACGTTTATTTCCTCAACTAAATCAGTGGACCAAAAGAAAAATCCAACCTTTTATTTTTGGTCAAGAAAAAAAAAAAAAAAAAAAAGAAGACAACTGGCTGCTTTATTAGGCACACCTGCTTCACATATTTACTTATTAACACAAATATCTAATCAGCATTTAGGCAAATAGGCATGGTCAAGACAACCTGTTAAAGTTCAAACTCAGTATCACACCAGAGACACAAAGCGATTTAAGTAACTGTGACGGTGGAGTGGTTGCTGCTGCCAGACAGGCTTTGTCTGAGTACCAGAAACTGCTGATCTGCACCTCTAGGGTTTACTGAAAAAAGAAAACATCCAGTGAGTGGCGGTTCTCTGGGTAAAAGTGCCTTGTTGATGTCAGAGGTGATAGGAGAATGGTCAGCTGCTTTGAGCTAACAAGAAGGCAACAGTAGCTCCAATAACCACTCAGACTAAAGCAGCAGAAACTCACACCAGGTGCCACTCCTGTCAGATAAGAACAGGAAGTGAAGCTCACCGAAAGCAGTCAACAGAATGATGATTCTGGATTTTTGCTGTGATATTCAGATGATAGCATCAAAGCTGACCGTAACAGGCTCCATCCTGCCTTGTTTCAATAGGTGAGGCTAATGAGGTGGTATAATAGTGTTGGGAATATTTTCTTGGAACATTCTGGGGCCTTAAGTACAAACTGATCATCATTTAATAGCTCTCACTGTACTCAAATGGCCTCCACGGTCACCAGATCTCATTCCAACAGAGTACCGTGAGGATGTGATGGAACAAGAGACTCACACCATGAATGTGCGGCTGACAAATCTGCATCTGTGTGATGCTCCATGTCAATATGGACTAAAATCTCTAAGGAATGTTTCCAGCCACTTGTTAAATCTGTGCCACAGACAATTAAAGCAGTTGTGAAGGCCAAAAGGCATCCCCCCTGGTACCAGTATGGCGTACCTGTGACTGAAGTAAGTGTTTAGCTAAAACACAACAAGAAGAACTAAACCTGTCGCGGTTTTTGAGGTTTCAGATACCAGACAATTAGTCAAACTAACATTACTTTGTTCTGTTACCTTTACACACTATATAAAATTATATCACAAGCAAAAGTGTGTGTAAACAGATATTATTAACTCTAATAGGTGTGCACACACTATCAAGATTATAATGAACAGAAAAAAAAGGGAGCAACTGAAGACTTTTTGTTGGCTACTCAAGTAAGACTTTTAAAGTCCCGCTTTCAACCACATAATGTGTAACACATGTATTATTTCACTGTTACACCATCCAAAATGAAAACCCAGAACAATACTGCAATTAAAATATACATTATATCACATTTCCAGATGGATAACTCAAGAATTCCTATTGATGAATACAAATGTAGGCAAACGGAGTCCTGACAGGTAGCCTAAAAAGAATAAAACAATTTAAAGATCACCGTTCTTTTTCGTTGATCTATATTACACCTTTCAACCATCTTTCAAACCAGTATCCTATAAATTTTTTTAGCTGAAAAAATACTAATATTGTGTCACTAAATAGCGCATTCCGAGTTTTGGACAAAAGAACTGAATGCAGTGCTTTTAGAGAGCTTCAACAACCTGCAGATACCTTTTTAGTAAAACAAATGTAAAGCTTTGCTGATGTTATCTGAACAGAATGTGTCAAAGTAAGTTTTACAAGCATTTCAAACTTTCACCTAAGATGACACAAAGACTTCTGTTAAGAATGCTGATACGTTTACCACCGATAAGACAAAACACTAAAACCAGCTGTTTTGTATTGTGTAGGTCCTCTTCATGCTTCCAAAACAGCTCCGGACTGCCAGAGCGCAGCCATGAGACCACTGAGTTTGTCCTGTGGTGTCAGGTGTCTGCAGCAATGTTTAGGCTGGAATGTCGAGACCCAAAGCCTCCCACCAATACGACATAAATAACGTAATTCTGCTCAGTGTAGAGTATTCAGAGTTTTGCTGGTCAGGCTCTATCTTATGGGGGCCCTGGTGTAATGGACTCCCGGTTGAATTGCGCGCTCTTCCCGGTTAGATCTCTTCCGTCATTTTATCTTGCTGTTCCACCCGTTGTATATTTGCAGCGTATCTCTGCAGTGAAAGCTGTTTATGCTTCCGAGCCTGAGCGGATTTGGCCAGATAACTTCCCAAGAAGACCCAGCGGGACAGATGTCATGGGGGAGGAATCGCTGGGATGGAAGCTGTAGCAGCTGCCGGTGGAGGTCACTGAGCTTCACTGAGCATATCCTCCACCAAGAATGCCGTTCACAGCCACACGAAGTGTACGGCTACAGAAAAGACTAAGAGCACAGTGATTCTTTGGCCGTTTACTGCTTAATCTGCAGATTTGACAGCCGGCCGTGCTAACTATGTGCTAGTTAGCGTGTTAGCCAAAATAACGGAAACTCAATCGAGTTGTGCTAATGTCAAATTTGACCCTGTCAGATTCGTAGAACTTTTAACCCTCGGGGAAGGTGTGGTGCCATAACAGACACATTCCATGAAAGCCCAAACGTTGTCTTCCGTTGTGGATACACACTTACCTTACAAGCGGAGCTAATAGTGTTTCTAGCCCCTGAAGTTCTCAGGCTAGCCGTCAAACGGCCGCAAATCAGGGACGTCGCCATGTCTCCCTCTACAGCAAAGTGGATTGAACGCGCACGCGTAGTGCGATTCCAAAGACGCCCTCCCCTCTGGTAATTTCAAATGCTGTCGGAACGTTCAGTCCCATGAAAGGAATGTTGTGGCCAAATAAAAAAAGAAAATACATACGTATAAACATACATACATACATACATACATCACCACACACACACACACACACACACACACAATATATATATATATATACACTATTTTTGTAAAAACTAGGAATTATCTTTTT